AGTGACATTTTTGTAAATGGACACCCCTAAGTGGCATTCTTGCAAATGTGCACACAAAAAGTGGCATTTTTGTAATTGCCCCATTTATAAAATAGTTTTGTTGATATAAATAATACTCATATTTATCACAATAAATATATTAAAAATTGACAAATTTATGAATTTAGAAACTATTATATGTTTGTATAATTTGCAATTATTTATTTCATGTGATCTAATTTTCGGTTAAATGAAAATAATTTTTTCCTATGAATTTTAGTCTATTAAATAATTTTTCGGTTAAATGAGAAGCACGACCACTTTTCCTATTTTAAAAGTATTAGATGGATTTAACTTTCTCTTTCCTATTTTAAAAGTATTAGATGGATTTAAAAGGTATGAATGCACCACATATTAAGGGCAAGAATTAATATTTCAATAAATTAATACATTTTTAAACTATGATAGTACTCAACCCCGAAATTTATTATGACTTATATCTAAGATACTAAAATAATCATAATCTTTGCTAAAAACTACTACGAAAATTTGTTTTGGATGTTATTGTTATTTTTCATTTATTATGAGTTACAAGATTGAGTAAATCTTGGATTTTTGGTGCATAAAAGTATCCCAAAAGTATCTTTTAAATTCAAATATTTTTAGTTTTAGAAAAACACGTTAACAAAATATTATTTTTGATATATTCTTTAGATAAGTAGATTTGAAATTAATAATAAAAGAACAAACAAATATCCTACAAATATTCGACTATTTAGAAAATTCACTATTGTTTGGATTAATCATATACTATAACGGAATTGCAATCATTAAAATTTCAATATTTGTAAAACTAATGCGATAATACTGGAAAACTTCAATAAAATTGAGTGGTTAACGAATATAATTAAATGGGTAAACTATCTATGTAGATAAAAAAAAAATCTTTTTGAAAGATTTTTCTCTTCATTTGCGGCTATCCTAAATGTCAACTTATTAACTTTTTCATCCCCTATATAAGAAACCTA